GTCTCCTGCTCATCCACAGGTCCACCTTCTGGGGTCTCTGTTACCCGGGGTGAAGGGCAGTCGAAAATACTCCATAGAAAATTCCAGAAATAAACAATTGGTGATGCTGGAGATCAAATCCAGGACCCCCGCCCCCCCCCACACACACTGAGCACGCGCGCTGCCCCAGCCCCAGGCAGAGGTTTTCAATGACTTTGGTTGCGGGGTGCTGTTGCCCTCCGCCTGTCTTACCGCCGTCGCGGGTCTCTTCCGGGGCCTGGTTGGTGGAGGAGCTTGTCCTAGGTGTGGGGTGTGGCGTCACGCCCACTTTCAGGCATCCAGGGGTCTTGCAGCACCTCCCCGTGGATAAGGGGGAGAGGAGAGTGAGGGGTCGGGTGGAGAACACTGTGGGGAGACGCCGAGAGCCGGGTGCGCGGGGACCGTCGGGTCTGTCCAGGTCCCTGTGGGAAGCCCCGGCTCCGTGTGGCAGGCTTCCTGCTGGGCAGGTTCGGGTCCCCTGGCAGGGGTGGGGGTGACGCGGCAGGCTGGGGACAGGGCCCCGGACAGGTCTAGTTGAAAAGTGGGTCAGAGAAGTCAAAGGTTCAAGTCCAGGTGGGGTGTCCCTCAGTGCCGAGAACCTTGTCACGGGTGGCGTGAACCCAGGGGCGGTCTACCCCGGAGCCACCCCCCCCAGCCCTCTGTAGTTTTCATGCTGAGACAGGGTCTCTCTAAGGCTGGCCCGAAACTCACGATCCTCCTGCCTCAGCCTCCCGAGTGGCTGGGAAGACAGGGCTGTGCCCTGGGCTGGGCCCTTTCCTTTTCAATCACAGGCATCCAAAGCTGTGGTTTTCCCTCCATCCCTGTTTTGACTTCACCCCACCACGTCTTCTGTGCTGTATTTCCATTATCATTCAGTTCAGATTTCCCCCCATTTCTGTTGTGATGGTATTTTCTCTGACCCGGGGCTTTTTTGGCCTGTTTGTCTAGAATTCCAGACCTTTGTGGTTTCTCATGGTCTTTTTGTGGTTGCTTTGAGTTTAGCTCCACGGTGCTCATACCCTGTAGGATCCTAGTCCTTAACAAAGTTTATGGAGACTCCTTTGCAGCCTGACACCCGTGCGATTTTGGTGACTGTTCCAAAAGCGGCAGATTCTTACACAGGCGCCTGGGGCTGGAGACCTTGGGCCGAGGTGGGTAAGGACCCCAGGGTGGCTTTAACCTGGGATGTGGCTTCTCTCTGGAGACTTCAGGCCTACCCTGTCTGCGAGCATTCTGGGTTCGGGGAGCAAAAGGGACAGTCACTGTTGGGGAAGATTTTCCTCACCATGAGGACGGAGGTGAGCAACCCGAGGTCTGTCCGGGGGCTGCTCTGTCGTTTCTATTCCTGGGGACTCAGGTCACGTGGCTCAGGTTGGGGACAAGGACGGTGTCTTAGGTGAGAATACTGCAAAGCCCCATCCACTGGGGCAGGATCCAGCGGAGTTGGAAGAAGAGAGACCAGTAATGGGGTCGCCCACGCTGGGCGCCCTTCTCAGTTCCTCTCACGGGGTGGGCGCCTCAAGGGCTGTTTTCCAAAGCTGGGACACGCGCCCTCCGTGACCCACACGACAGGGGTCAATTCCAGTCACGCGCCCCATAGCGACATTTCGGTCCACGGTGGACAGCGTCCACTGCGGCACCCTGTAAGACGGCAGCGCCCAGCGACAAGTCGGTCCTGGGAAGTTCGCGCAAAGTCGCGCAGCCTCGTGGCCCAGTCCTCCAGGTGTCTGTGCTGTTGGGCCAGTGTCCACGACGTGGATGAAGTGGCCTTGCTCTCTGGGCCGCTGGAAACCGTCCTGATTCCACAGCTGGACACTCTTGACCCAGATTTGGAGAGAGATGGAAAGAAGACGCTCCCGGGTGCTGCAGCCCCTTGGTGGCCCCGCGGCGCGCCCTGGGCGCTGGGACGGGCGTCGCGCTGGGATCTACTCCTGAGGCTGGCGGCCTCCCTCCCCGACGGCACCCGCTCAATCTGTTCCACGCGGGCACAGAAGGGTCTGCCTGTCCTGGGTGGGGACTGGCGGGGCTACTTTTTCTTTCTTTCTCGAAGATCCCTCCGCATGGCCATCCTGGTTTTATTATTATTTTTTTTCCTAACTTCAAAATCTTGGAGCAACCCACACTCCAGAGCTCGCACCCGCCTGCGGTTCCCTGGCCCCCAAGTGGTGGCTGCGGAAGGTGGCCGAGTGCCTCCCTCCCGGGAAGCAGAC